GGCCTTGTAGCAGGAAAAGAATTCCTCTACCGTCATGGCCGCTCCTCCGGTTGCCTACGCCCAGGCACTCGCACAAGTCATTAATATCTTCCAGGCATTCGGCATCAACTGCCCTAAAGCCACTTCTAGCCTGTTGAGCACGTCTACCATAATTTCGAGGAGTGGTAGCCTCAGACCCTCCCGCAGCGCCTCCTAGTATAGGCTGAACTCGTCCAACCGTACATCCGACGCCCTCTCCTTGGACGTGGGTAGCCTCAAACCTATTTCCACGAGAATTTGGTACTTCCTCCGTACCCCCTCCAACTCCTCCACCGTAAATGTGGATCTGTCTGGCTTGGTGTGCTAGTGGTCCGGCTCCACTTGGCTAATGGGTTTCATGGCCGCAATCATCATCGTCGGATGAGCCCGCACCGCTTGACCAGCTCCCCTCTCCTCCCCTCCGCTCCCCTCCCTTCCCTCCACCCGATACTGTTCTGCCAATTCCACCGCGTCATCATCACCCAACAAGTCAAGCCTTGCAGCTGGCATTTCCTCTCGGGCCATCTCTCCTACGTGTCTACGTATTGTTTCGGACGTTGGCACAAGGAAGTTCGAAAAGTGTTGCAGAGGTGTGTCACACGAGACAAATGCGTTCACCTCATGGATGTGTTGGTTTTTGGCAAAAAGGCAGGTAAAGCGAATAACTCCAAATGCCCACGGTTTGCCTATATTCCAAGGGTCGCGATTAAACTTCGCTAGTTTGAAAATTTTTGAAAAACTCCCGCCCTTACCTTTTCGCTGTCCTATGTTATCCTGTCCCTTCACTTCTTCCTAACACGTCACCTCCCCTATTAAAAGATTACGCCACGTGTACACCCACGATCCACTACTCTCTTCCCCTTCCCTGTCTATTCTACTTCACATCACTACGTGCCCCGTCGTTCCTCGACCCCTGTGCACTGCCACCTCCACTCGGTCACCCTTTGCGATCGGCCTCTCCCCTCAGTCACCCTTCGCGGTCGACCCTCTTCGTTGTCGGTCCATCCACTTGACCCCCTTTCGTGGTCGGTCTATCCACTCGGCCCCTCCTTGGGGTCGACACCTCCCCTCGGTCACCACTTGCGGTTGCCCCCCCTCGCGGTCAGCCCCTCCCATCGGTTACCCTTCTTGGTCGGCCCCCCTTTGAGGTCGGTCCGTCCACTCAGTCACCCTTCTTGGTCGGTCCCCCTTTGCGGTCGGTCTGTCCACTCGGTCACCACTCGCGGTCGGCCCCCCTCGTGGTCACTCCGTCCACTCTGGTCACCCCTCGTGATCGGCCCACCTTCTAGTCGGTCTTCTCTCCATCGACCTCTCGCAACCCCTGTCTTTTTCCTTATTCCTTTCGTTGGACTGAAACTACACTTGGGAATGGGGGACTACTGACGTAGGTGGGCCTATAGGAGTTTTTAGTCCACCACTTATGGCCCAATCCATGATCCAAATACTAAAGCCCAACTTTCTTGGAACCCAACGTTACACCAAGAACCAATGGCATCTAGACACCTGTCAAGAGTAGAACCAACCACATCAGCAGACAAAGATCCTGCAGAATTATTGCACCACACAACAGCCATTAATGAGTCCCCTACAACATTTATTATGGTAGCCCCTTCACGTCGGAACAGAATAGTCTCACCACGAACAAGGCAAGTTAGAACATAGACTTTCGGCCAACATGACAGCTCGGAGTGGACAAGGAAATGATGAACAAAGGATATAAGCAGGCTTCAAAGATAAGGAGAAGGTTAAGTTCTCTAGGACCATTCTATCTCGACATTCCCATCGCTCTCACTTCTCTAACTTGATCGTCGGAGGGTTCGTTAGGGGACTCCCCGTTTCCCGTTGAACTCTTGTGCAGGTTTCTCAGTGGACTCGACAATCGGACAATGGTTTGGGAAGCGTGGATCAACCCGACCCGTTCCTTATGGAACACGTAAGTATTATCAAACTCTATTGAATTAAGTTGGCCTGTGTGTCCATGGTGAAAATCTCGAAAACTATTTGTATACATGGGTACCGATTCCCTCGGACAAAATTTTCGTAAAATGGAAAATAGAAGTAATTGTATTGTGTGATGATGTTAATTTGTTGGAAACGTATGAGGTGTATCCTCTGTTGGGTGGATTAAATGCAGTGGATGTATCTATTAAACCCAAATGAAAGAAATGAAACGTAAGTTTGGTATACCATGGTTTTGGAGAAAGTTATAAAGATTTTGTTATAGGCAAATGAAAATGTGCATAATATTTATATCTTGTTAATTCCTATATATTGTGTTAGTATGTTTTTACTGGGCTTTGGCTTACCCTTATTGGGAACCATTTTCAGGTGTTGGAGACATGCCTCTGTCGAGACAGTAGTTCGGGGAGACTTGGAGCAAGAGCTTCCTTTTGTTTATTTATTTTGTATAGCCAAGGGCTAAGTTGTAATTGAGTTAAGACTCTTTTGCTGTAACCAAGTAATGTCTTGGAAAAGTGTAAGCTCATAGGGCATTTATTTTGTGATTATTAATTGGTAGTATATGCTATAGATTCAGGATGAACATTAATGAATGTATACTGCATGTGTTCACCTTTTGTAATACGAACTATGTTGAATGAAAACATAATATTTCTATTAATATTCTGTTATAAGAATCAGAATTATTGTAGCAATTTGGGAGCGTTGCATTACTTATAATAGCTAACAAATCTAATTTAAAGAGTCATTTAAAGGTACTCTAATTTCTTTCTATGTATCAGAATTATACCAATTGTTTTTTACCGATAGTGCAATTATTTTTCAGTGTAACATTTATTGTTAGTTGGGAAAGTTGATTAAAAGTTGATTTTTTGATTTTTTTATTTTAAAAAAAAAAGGTGTAAAAAAATATAGAAAGGTTATATGACTCAAAATAGGTTAAAAGTTAAAATTTGGCTTTTAGCCATCTTTCCAAAAGAGCCCTTAATTTATAAGATCTCCTTGCGTTCATCTTGTTTCGAGTCTACTCGGTCATTAAAACGCATTATTTGGGCTCATAAGTTTCACTTTGATTATTCGAATCGTTTATTTTTTGAAATCATAATGTGTAATGTGATTATGATTATTAGATTTACTTATTTTATTTTTTTATAAATAATGTGCATATTATGGTATGAAAGATAAACAATTCGAATAATCAAAATATGACATGCGATGAGCCCACAAACTCGAAGGGCATGGTTCAATGGAAATAATCTATACTCATAGTAGTGTGTTAATTATGTGTTAGTGCGTTTTTATTTTTTATTAGATTTAAATTTAAATTAAGATTTTTTTACTTAAATTTAAAATCATATTAAGTAAAAAATAAAACGACGTCGTTTTGACAGATTTATCTGTCAAAACGACGTCGTTTTGACAGATTTGAGCCATTTGAGCCACAAAAATTTGAGCTACCTAGCATTGTCGATAATCTATACTCATAGTAGTGTGTTAATTATGTGTTAGTGTGTTTTTATTTTTTATTAGATTTAAATTTAAATTAAGATTTTTTTACTTAAATTTAAAATCATATTAAGTAAAAAATAAACATAATTGTTATATTTGGTTGAGATGTAATGAACATTTTATAGAATATAGAATGAATTTAAATTAGTTATTAATAATTTTATACAAAATTCAAGCTAAAAATTAGGATATAGGATATCTACGTATAAAAAATGAGATCAATAAGATAAATACAATCTTATAATAAAACGCTAATTAATTTGGAAAATATTATTAAAATTATATTAATCATTATTTTTTTTAAAACAGAAAACCTTTTTTTGGAGTTTCAAATATCTAATTAATTTGATTTTTTTTTTCTTCAAATAATCTACTCGACAAACAAAGCCCAACAACCTCACAGCACGGTGCTGGGTTGGGGAATGACTCATCTCCATACTCTTATCCATCATACTCTTCCATATTTTATTTTTTGAGTTCCATTTTAGAGCCATAATGATAATCTAAACTGTTCATCTTGTAATTCCAACAATTTAAATGAGTTATATAAAATTAATTTCATTGAATATTACTATATACATGAATAAATTAATTAAAATGAACAATAATTGTGAGTTTAAATTTAAACCTTTTTTTTCTATAAAACAAAAGTGATTTGATCACGTGTTCATCGATATTTGATGAAGCCGATTTTTTGCACAAATGTTATTCATTGTGAGATTTACGAGATAAACAATTTAAATTATTATTATGATTCTAAAATGGAGGCCAAAATAAAATATGAAAAAATATGGTGGATAGAAGTATAGATTGAAGCCATTCCCGCTGTGCTGTGGCAACCCCAGACTCTAAAAGGTTATTGATTCCTTGTACTAATGCCGCCTCGGCTAGTATGTTTGAGAATTCAATAATACTACAAATTAAGATTTAATTATCGAAAAATTATTTAAAATTATCATCTCATAATTCATATTTATTTTGCATATATGGCTCACACTACACAATTAAAATTTAATCACACATTGTGCCTGTTTGGTGCAGCTTAAAAGTTATTTATTTCAGTTTTCAGCTTAATTTAAGTTATTTTGATGTGTTTGATTTAGCTTATAGCTTATACCTTATAACTTTTTTAAAGTCAAAAATCAGCTTATTCTTTGAATGGGACAGGAAATGCTTAATTTATATGTCAGAAATTAACGTATATTCATAATTATAAGGTATAAGCTGTTTAGGCATAAGTTATAAACACTTTCTTACAGCTCTACCAAACATGGCCATTATCATTAAGGAGGGATAAGAGTAAATTCATAAACTTAGGTTTATTTGGGATAAACTTTTGAGATTAAGACCAACACAAATAAAATACACTATTTTAATTAATAAGACAAAAACATCATATTTAATCATAATTATTATATTTATTATTATTTTCACAATCATCCAATCAATTATTTTAAAAAAAAAATCATCATTTCAAACCCAACCTTTTTAATCAATTGAAAAAAACTAATAAATAAGTACGAAGGTTTGTTTGGAATTTAGGCTAAGAAAAGGAGAGGGAGGTAGAAGTTTACAAGGCAAAATGGCTGCATCAACTTCACCTTCGTCCACTTCGAATGCTGCTGCAGATTCCACTCACCATCTCATTAAACGAGTAAAGTACCTCTCTCTCTCTCTCTCTCTCTCTCTCTCCAATAGAAGAGTTATATATCTATCTATCTATATATATATATACATATGTAATGGTGATGATGATAAAATTTTAATATATATGCTTGCTTTGATTTACACAGATAAGAAGCCACGAGATTGCTATAGTGGAGCTCAACAATCTTTCGTCCTCTCGGGTTTGCAAATCCCACAACCCTAAGCCCTCCTTATTTGTAATTTTTATAATTTTAGTAATTATGAATTATGGATGGAAAATTGTTGCCTAAGGATGTTTGGTGGTCAATTCAACCTAAAATAATAGAATTTTTTTTTTTTAATTTTATTTTTAAACTTCACTTTGGAAAACACAACACAAATTAGTCTCTATAGGAAATGTATAATTATTGTCCCCAAATTTCATTTCCCATACAATCATGAATGAAATGGAGAGGATGATATCTCAGCCTTTATAACTAATTTGTGTTGGTTACAAAATAATTTTGCTTAATTTTTTATTTTATTTTCATAAAATGATTCAAACTGCATTTCTAACAGGGCGTATGGGTTTTTTTATAACAAATCCTCGAACAACAAACACAGAAAAAAAAATTAAAGAAAAAAATGAAAATCCATTATAGAAGGGGAACTGAAGGAACAATGTTGTGTCAATTTTAGATCTTATTAGGGAGTCTTGGTATTAGAAATCAACAGCTTTGGATGGTGAATATTGCTTTACCATCAAGTTAGAGCCAATGGATAAGTCCTAGGTAGGTTGATTAAGAATTTATGACAATCTGTATGCGAAACCTTAACGCTGTGTTTGGTTGGGAGATTTGAGAAGAGATTAGAAAAGGGTCACATTTCACCTCCCTTTTTCCTTTCTTTTTCCTAATTTCTTCCAAAATCGCCCAACCAAACACAGCTTCAGAAAAATTTGGCAGAGAAAATCCAGGGGAAGCAGAAAATAGTTTGTAATTTTCTTCTTACTTTAAGAGATGGAACTAGGGCAGTTTTCATCTCCCTTGGGCTGAAGGATGTGCACAAAAATGTCCAAAATTGATTACCAATTTGTGCATATGTCAGTCAACTTTGAGTTTGGATAGTACAGTTGAACGGGCCCACAACCATTTAATATATATATATATATATTACCGCTCCCCGAGGCGCTCCCAACCTAAGAAACTTCTATCGGCTCACGCTTCCCCGCTCCCGCTCCCACCCCCGCTCCCGCTTCGTGCAACTAAGGTATGGGTGAGATGTAGATTAATGAACATAGTTGATTGGACTTTAAAGACCAAAAAAATTACCCAGTGAACAAGGAAACAGGGATGGCAATGAGTTTGGCATGGGATAGGCCAACCCCAACCCCAACCTAGCCTTTCTCTATGGGAGCAACCCCACCAGACCATGGTTCCATACATGGCTGCATGTTCCCAGATTTTGTCTAATCTCAGCCCTAAAACTTGCCCTCAGCACTTCCTCAGCTAACCATGCCCTTTATCCCAATCAGGTCAAGAGCCATTGCAAATCCTTCATTACCCTCCTATGTACTCTTAAATTTCTTCTTTATAGGGGCAGGGCAAGAACCTATATATTTATCAAGAATAACATCCATCCAGTAAAGTATTTGTCTGTTTATGTACAAGTACAAAGGGATATATTAAAACCAACTTTGTTATTTAACTTCTGCTACATGCTATATAGTTTTGGAAGAAATGGTTCAACAAAGATTAAACATGAAAGGGATATTGGCCTAAGGGTTACATGAGGAAGTATTGGGAGGCTTCCCCTCTTTGCTGATGTGGTTATTGAGAGAGAGAGACAGGAGCAAGAGAATTTTTTAAGAGAGAGATTTCACTTCAATGTTTGATGGGATTGATGCTTATTTCTTTTGTTAATTTTTGGCGAATCGTATACCCTTGTTGATACTTTGGGTTCCAAAATTGTCCAACCAAACACAGCTTAAGAAAAATTTGGCAGAGAAAATCCAGGGGAAGCAGAAAATAGTTTGTAATTTTCTGTCCGAAAAATGTAAGTGATTATGTGAAGGTTTAAAGCCAAGGTGTTTTCCATCGTTATAGTGACTTGGAAAAAAAACACTTCTTGTGTGTAGGGTGTTGGAGAAGATAGGCGTACAAATCACACAAATGGACATCATTATGGACATGGACAATTTAACAATATGAAATTGGAGGGAAAAAAGATTTACTAATCAGAATGGCCTTACTACGAGGGCAACCATTTCTAGTTTGATTTAGTCATAGATAGATTTGCTAGAAATGTACAAAAGAATGTTTTGTGATCTATGTTGTTTGGTGATTATATAGTTTTAGTTCTCAAAATAGAAATATTAGGACCTAATTCTAGATGCGAAGAATAAAGTGATTGATGGGAGGTTCGAACAACTAAAGTACGACCTGGGTCTGAATAACACTCAGAACAAGCTTGAAATTATGCAACAAAACAGGTTATGCTTGAAATTATGCAACAAAACAGGTTATGGGACTCAAAACCAAGGCCTAACAAACAGCAAATTAAGGCTACAATAATTACCAAAATTTGATATTTGAATCTCCAAAAAAGATATTGCAACCTTATATACAGGTAGTGTAGAGAGTCAGAAATTAACCTCTGAGTCAAGTATGGACCTAAGTGCGGAGATTGCCCTTTTTAGGCGACCAAGAATGGTTGAAGGAGCATGGGTTAAAGCCCAGGGGAAGTAGGCCAACAATGGGCCGAAGCAAGTCTGACCCGCCAAGGGTCCGAGTGGATTTCATTAGGGAAAAACGTCTAAGTGAAGTTGCAGAGGCATTACTTGTAGCGGTTAAGGTGCTAAGGCATTCTATCTCAGCGTTGCCATTCCAAGTATTGCCAGTACCACTGCCATCTGAAGTTGTTGAGGGAAAGAGAAAAACCGAAGCAACTAAGTTGCAGAGGCAGCGCTTGCAATGGTCAAGTTGCGGAGGTACTTTGTCGGCGCCGTCATCTCTAATATTGTCGGTGCCACCATTTGAACTTGTCACGGGAAATAACCACCGCAACAACTATAGCAGCCGCAACTAACTTGCAAAGGGAACGCCCCACCAAGGTAATAGTAGCCTTTGAGAGAATCTTCTGTTGGCATAATATAATCACCGAAAGTCACTTAGTATTTTATTAGCCGAAAGGCACTCTTGTCTGTAATCATTGTTATGCCCTTAGGGATCATCTTGTAATTGTCTTGTTTGTAGTCTTGTTTGTAAACCCTAATCTTCATCTATAAATTAGGGGTGATATCTCATCATACCCCAAGCTGATTATTCAAGCTTCATCTTCCCCTCCACAAGTAGAGACTACTGCTTGGCGCTGATAGCAGGCCCCAAAGCCTACTGGTTGGAGCTGATAGCAGGCCCCAAAGCCTACTGGTTGGAGCTGATAGCAGGCCTAGAGATACCAGTATACTGCGGTAACTTCGCGAAAGTAGAAGTAGGGTAGCCCGAGCACAAGGGACTCCCTTTCCATTTACCTAGGTCATGGACCTGTCTTGGTTGCACAAGTAGGACCAATGAAGCCCCTTTGGCCTTGATACTTACTAAGGCACATCATGGTTGATAGCAGACTTGACTGTGGCCTTCGTCTTAGGAAGTTGGAGAGTTTGTGGTTAGGTGGCCAAGGGTGAAGACTTCGCTGAGGTGAACACGAACATAGTTGATAGCAAACTATGAAATCCTGAGAATGCATGTCTTGGCTAAATTGAACTGAGAAGCTAATTGCAGCGGCAAACATTACCCGCCGCAAGTGCACTTACTGAGATTCAAGCTGAGAAGGCAAGTTGTAGCAGTAAACACTTCTGCTGCAAGTGCACTTGTTGAGGCACCTGTGCCAAACAGATAGTACACAGTACATGTAGAGGGACATGTAGCACCTTCACCTTGATGGCCCAAGGTAGAATATTCCATGTGATTCTTAGAGACACATGTCCTTACTTTATTTAGCCATTTGGTATCCTTTGGAACCAAAGAAAAGCCTATAAATAGGACCCATTTCCCAAGGTCCAAGAGGAGTATTCTGGGAATTTGGGGAGATGCTGTCCATTTGTGCGCTGCCATTCTCTTCTTCTTGAGCCACTTGCTCCACCTTCACCTAGCTGCTCATTCTCTAACTTTCCCAAAGTTTTGTTGACTCGTTCTCCAGCCTTTTCATCTATGTTGGACCATTAACGTAGTTTTGCCTCTCTATTTATTCTCCTAATCATTGTTTACCTCAAACCCCCCTACCAGTAGCTAATGAAGTTAGTTCACAGTGAAGTACATAGGGATCAATAAAACTACAAATCAGCAACAAGGTGACAAGTGGTTAACTTGTAACCACCCATAACAAGCTAGAGATATGTGGCTTCCATGCAGTCATCCAATGACGAGCTACTAAAGTATATTTATTAAAAAAAGCAGTTTCTTAAACTATGTTTTCAATTCTTCATGATAACTAAACAAGAAATCTTTTCCCACCAAAACTGTAATTGGATCTTCACCACATCAGTGATACTCAATACCTAATGGTCTTGAGATATTTAAGACTATTATAGATTATATAGAACGTAAATTTAACTAAGTATGCTAAAGTTGTGAAAGCCAATGGTCAAACTATAAGCAAAAAATAACCTTCTTTTCTTGTATTGCATTATTACCAGTGCGAAAATTTAGGATGTTTTCATGGGATAAGAGTTGGATAATGAAGTCAAGGAATCTGTCCAAAATGTTGTGTCGTAGGTTAGGGATTTAATTAATAGAGTAATTATATATAACAAACTAAAGTCATCCGTTGGATAAGGCTGAGTATATAAATAGCATGCTGACTATTAAAAAGTTGGAAATAGTATGTTCAGAAAAAAAAACATGGTAGTTGAGATAATAATGTTGGAATCTAAACTGTACTTTTATTTTTTTCTTGTTTTCTTTCTTTTGTTTGATTGTATTAGGGTTGTGCCCCTTGGCACTTCTTTAATACAATTTTCTTTGTTACTGATCACAAGAAAAAAAAAAAAAGGAACATAATCGCCAACAGATAATTTTATGAGGAAGTGTGATGTCATTTAAGTTGAAGGTGTGATAAGAAGGAATAGAGCATGGTCTAAAGAGAACATGGGTAGCAGTTGTAGGAAGACATGATTGCCTAGAATGTAATAGAGAATAGGCCCCAGTTAGAGCTATATGGGAAAGACAGATTTGCGAAGTTGACACTAGTAATTGTGATTTTAAGCTTTTCTAGAGAAGTAATTCAGCATTGGATCATTTAAAAATAGGAATCTGCCAGAGTTGAACTGTTTTCTCTTGGTGTTTTCAAAGTCCTTTTAGTTTTTAAATCGTAGCATTTACTTTCCCTTTCTCAGGTTTATTTATCTATCAGCATACTGATCAATGTAATTAAGGGCCTGTTTGGGAAATGGCTTTTTTAGTGCTCTTAAACTAAAATATGAAGTGAAAAAAAAAAACAATAATATGTTTGGGAATGACTCTTTGGCTTTTTATGGAAAAATATGCAAAAGGTTGTGTGAATTGGACGGAATCTTCGACTTTGTAGAGAGAATGCGAAGGAATTTTTGATTTTTTTGTACGAGTTAAAAACTTTTTTGCCTTTTTGACTTTTGAGTGACTTTTTTGGCTAAAATAGCCACTTGCTTAACAGAGCCTAAGTTTTATATTTTGTTGGCTGAATTTATATTAACTTCAATGATATTATCAGTAAATGTGAACTTCTTACATTTCCTAGGAGCATAAGGAGATTGAAGGTTCAAAAGTTGTAGTAAGTTCAAGTCAGTCATTAGAGGGTTGCATTGGACTACAAAAAATGAAAATATTTATTTTGGGGGAGCAAAATTTTGCTTCTTGGTCCTTTTTAGGGAAGACATAAGAGTAGCATAATCATAATCTTTCTAAACCTGAACCAACAACCCTACCCTAATTGTAAACAACCTAGTTTGTAAACAACCCTACCCTAAATTGTAAACAACTTTTAGTCATCCAAAATCAACCTAGTTTGTCGAATTGGCAAAATTAATTATGGATTATTGTCTTCCAAAGTTAAAAATGGAAATTTTCAAAAAAAAATAATAAACAGGAAAAAAGAACCTGTCAAGCAGAAAAGAAAACTGTTCAGATAACTGTAGAAAGACCATTAAAATTTCAAAATCTGATGAAGGATGAAAGGGTACAGAACAGGTCATTAAAGAGTTAAAAAGAAAAGACAGCACAAACTTTCTTAAAATAAAGTTTTATTAGTTGTTGATTTCCTAAAAAACTCCATATTAATTGAAAGATATTTCAAAAAGTATAAACTTCCACTGAATAGATCAAAATCTAGAAGTGTGGTCTGGTCATTATTTTTATTAGCATTACAGAGGATGGAGGGTCTACAACAGAATAACATGGCAATATCTTGGGGTCACAACCCGTGTAACATCATTCCTAAGACGACGAAATGAGAATCACGAGGTTGTAAGTCATAGATGGTTGAACCCACGTGGCCCAAATGGTTTTGGGATGCTTAATGAGCTAGGTATTTTCCTTCTCAATTGTAGTGGGTAGCTAAACTATCCCAGATTCTTGTCATCAACATATTTTAAAGGCCTCAATTTAATATATGTTTAAAGGCCCCAATTAAGAAAGAATGGGTTCTGTTGATTTGTTCAGTTTCTTGAAGAGGACAGTATCCTCTTCTTCTTCATCAGCTTAATCTATAAGAAACTATTAGCACCAATTTCCTTTTATATTTTCTAGGGAATGCAGGGAGGTGGCAAAAATTAGAGAAAAGACAACTGAAAAAAATAGGGGTGATGAATTAAAAATAGCAGTAACTTCTTTATATATATATATATATATATTGTAAACCTGAATTTTACAGTAGCATAGACTTTAGATGGGTTCCGTTACAACCCATGCGCTGTGATGTGTTTAGTTGCACCTGCAATAATTGGTGGATCTGCTAGTTATTGTTGTCAAGTTCTTCACATGTACTTGGAAATAATTTATTTATATAAAAAAAATGTTACTTGGCCATAATTTGTGAAGGTTTTTTTCATCAATTCTCTTGCATCAAATACATTATAACAAAAATGCATAACTTATTGTTTAAAATGCTTAGTATTAATTATCTTCATCATTTTATGATTGAACCCATGTAACTGAGATAATTTCATATAAAGTTTCTGTGCAAAAGAGAGGAGGGGAAGGGCATTCGGAGAAGATCATTAACTAAGCCGTCAGCTTTCTATGCTGAATTGAGTTTTGTGCTGTCGAATCTTAAGCCCCCTAAGTTTTTAATGATCTATTTTTATGAGCCATTTTATCATGAATTAAGCTTTTAGCAGTAGACCCTTTAACCCGCTTTTTAGTCTTGGCTCTTGCCACTTGGTGCAACGGTGCATGTTCACTACTAAAACGGAAGCTTGAACTTGAAATTTCATCCTCTAATTGACGGGTGATATCATTAAAGTGACTATGATTTTTTTTATTTTCATGTCATGTCATATGTGCTTATAGCATAAGAGCGTTACTTTTCCTTAATTTATCATTCACAATAAACTTTTTGATCTTTCAGAGCACCACGTGCCGTATATTGTTTGCTAGCCTTTGCTTCTCCTGTTTTGATCAATTAAGTTTACAGAGAAACAATTGCGTTACTTGTCTGCAGGCTGTTTATCAGAAAAATGGGAACATATTTTTCCGTACTACTGCTCGGAAAGCAACCGCATTTGAACAGAGTGAGAATTTTATTTTTGATTCCCTTAAATTTTTATTTTTTTACCACGGGTAGTAATCTTGTAATACGTATTCTTCTCATCTGTTTGCTGGTTACTTTACAGGACAACTTGATGCAACTAAAGCTAAGCCACAGCAGTTAAATTCACCTTGATTTTTGTTAGAGCTCTTTATGGTCTGCCAATTATTTTTGTTACCTGCTGTTTTTAGACTATTTGCTTGCTTGTTGTACCAAACATTCACTGTTGACAAAACCAAAAAAATGAAAAATAATTTTTTTTTTTTTGTTTTCTCATTAAGAGATTATGTTCTATATTAGGATCATTTTGAAATGTGAACTACTTTATATGTATATTTCAATACAACAATTTCTTGAAAGCAGTGCAGGATTTGAAAAATGTTCATCAATGTCCCGGCTCTTCGGCTGAATCCTTGTCTGTTCTTTGCCACAATTAACTTAATCTGAGCATCTCCAATAGGTATTGTTATATTGCCATTGCTGTTGTTATAATTTGATAATGAATAGTTTTATTTTGCTAAATTATAGTAATGGTGTTCTAGTGATCATTTGCTATTTTGGTAAATTTCAACCAAATTTTTCTTCAAGTTTGTAAGTGTTGTTTGGATATAGTTTTTTTTTGTGATTTTGTTATTGTTTATTTTTTATTTTTTGTGACTTTTTTTAATTGTGTGTAAAAAAAATTATATATTTATATTATTCCCGACTAGACAAATATAAAAAACAAAAAAAAAATTTTGAAAAATTGGAGAAAAAATATTAAATATAATTCATCCCACCAAAAAACATATCATTACATATTTAATAAATTTTTTAAATTACATATAAAAAATAAACAATCACCAATTACCTACCAACAATTATCCATCATTCACTCAGCATTCATTCACCAACAACCACTCACCAATAACTATTCATTATTCACCCAACATTCATTTACCAACAACCACTCATCCAATAATCATCCATTATCCATCCATCCACCCACCAAATGACCACCTATTATTCATCCAAGCACCCAACAACAATCCATTATTCACCCATCCAACAACCATCCATTATTCATCTACTCACCCAACAACCATCCATCATTCACCCACCCACAATTTTCTCTATAAATATAACACAAGGTTTTCTATAATTTTCATATTTGCCCACTCACTTATTCACCAACAATAAACAATTTGACTAAAGTCATATTCAATGGAGATTTTGATGAATTTTCATCATCTGATGATGATATCATCATGATGCAACTATTAACAGCGCAACAATAAAGAATACAAGCTTTAAGCCTAAACCAACCAACCAGACGGTTTGGTTCCACAAATGGTCGTCGATACATTAATCATGAAAGGGTCATAGGCAACGAACAAATTTATAGAGATTACTTTATAAATAATCTTGTTTATCTAGAAGTATACTTCTGAAGACGTTTTTGAATGAGGCGGTCATTGATTTTTTTTTTTTTAAAACCAAACAGAGCACAACAGCTCTATAAATTTTCATCACCACTGTCCACGTATTGGTCTTCAACGGTTGAGATGATTTGTGTAGAATCATCCAACCTTTTCTGCCTCTCCCTCTCACTGTCTCTCTCACCATTTCTTCCTCCATGTCCCTCTCAATCTTTCTCTCTCTCTCTCTCTTTCACTCTCAGATTCATCTCTCTTTTCTCTCTTTTCGAGTGGCTATGGTGTCAATCCGTCTCCCTCTCCCTCTCACTCTATGTTTCTCTCTCTCCCTCTCACTGTCTCTCTCACCATTTCCTCCTCTCTATCCCTCTCAATCTTTGTCTCTCTCTCTCCCTCCCTCTCTCTCTCTCTCTCTCTCTCTCTCTCTTTTTCTTAGATTCATCTCTCTTCTCTTTCTGTCGAGCGGCGATGGTGTCGATCCCTCTCACTCTCACTCTTTTGTCTCTCTCTTCGATTGGCGACGGTGTTTACCCCCAATCTCCGAAGACAACCTTTCCTCCTCTCCCTCTCCCTCTCACTGTCAGTCTCCCTCTCCTCCAACCGTCGTCATCTACCCCCACCCCTCTGTTTCTTTCACTCGTCTTTGTCACGCTCTATCTAACTCCTACAATGGATCGACGATGTTGGACAAGATCACAAAGAAGATTGAAACCCTAATGATGAACACAAAGAAGATCATCCAAAGAACAAAGAAGATCAACCCATTTCAGGTTTTTTTTTTCTCTCACTATGTTGATTTTTTATTTTTTTTTTAATTTTGTTTGCTTCAAATTGGTGAAATTGATTTTCTAATTTTTAAATTTTGTTTGCTTCAAATTGGTGAAATTGACACCCTAATTTTGTTTGCTTGAAATTTTGATTTTCTAATTTTTCTGTTAGGTATTTTTTTGTTTGCTTCAGGTATTTTGTTTTCTAATTTTCTGTTTTTGGAAATTGTTGGGTGAATTTTGAAATTTTCGAAATTTGTGTGATTTTGGAAATTTGAAAATTGTTGGGTGAATATTGTTTGGAAATTTGGAAATTTGTGTGATTGGAGTATGAATATTGAAACTGTGTTTGGAAAGGATGATGAAAAAGGAAGGGAGTGAAGGAGAAAACGGTTGGTTGAAGTTGACTTTGCCATATTTGACACAAGCTTTGGCATTTGCCAAAGATAACAGCTGCTAAAAGTTGCCATTGGAGGTACGTTTCTATCAACTGTTGCCATAATTTGGCAATAACAGCTCCAATGGCACACCATTGGAGATGCTCTAAAGAAAACCAAGACAAAAAATGAAAAAAGAAAAAAAAAAAGGAACAGGAACAGGAAAAGAAAATAAAGTATTAGTGATTATAGGTTTTCTCAATGAATTATGATTGCTTGGGTTGAATTTAACTCCCACAGATTTCTAGTATATGGGTTCTAAAGCACTTTTAGGAGGGTTACAAATGAATTGAGTTGAGACAAGTTTTATAGGGCGCGAGCTTGGTTCGTTTGTTTATAGAGCTTGATTACACAGTTCGAACTTGGTTCGATAACTAATCAAACTCAAGCTTGGTACAAAGCTCGATAATGAAATTTTGTTTATTATTATTTATATTATTTATTTCATAATTTAAATAAAAATAAACGAGTTTGGTTTATTCGAGTTTGATCCTAGCTTGTTTACTGACTGAGCTTAAAATCAAGTTCAAACACATTTATTTATTTAAAAAACTGAGTTGAAGTGAATCACCAGGTGAATCCCCAGGAGAAATCGAGATAGAGAGAATATTTTCCTCCAACTCCCTTCTCGTAGACATAGCAAGCTATGAGCACGAACACTTCAAAATAGGTGTCATATCATAGCCTTATTAAGCACATATGAGACAATCCCATGGTGTGTTTATTTTTTTAATAATGTTTTTTCAGGGCATAGTAGGAACATGCCATATGGTGTGTGTGTGTGTGTGTGTGTGTGTGTGTTTATTTATTTATTTATTTATTTATGTTAGAATAGTAGAGAGAGAGAGAGAGAGAGAGAGAGAGAAAGAGAGAGAGAGAAAATAATATGTATTGTATTCAATGTATTGAATGAATTGTCCTATACATGAGAAAGAGTATCCTATTAGAAATCTAACTATGAGAAAGAGTATCCTATAAGAGATCTAACTATTACAATACATAATATATCTAGGCAATCAATACCTAATATATATAGGAATATATACCATATATATATTAACATTCCCCCTTAAACTCAGGGAGGATAAATATCTTGATTTTGGAGAGAGAAACTAAAACATGAAATAAAACTAAATAAAATAAAAGGCAAATAGATTGCAAAATCCGAACGGGAGCGCAAGGGCGCTTGAAATAGATCAGAAGCCAAAACTAATGCCGGGAGACAGTTTATGGTCATGTCGGACCATTATAGAAACTAGCTGAAACTAATGCTAGGACAGTTTAAAGTCATGTCGAACCGATATAGAAACTAGCTGGAACTAATGCTGAGATTAGAGGCTGGAGCTAATACCGGGAGCCAGTTAAGGTCCCAAATATCTGAATACACAAGATCAGAAGGAGCAGTAGACATAGAAGTACTGTTATTAAAAGATAAAGTAGGTTGTTTAGCAATTTGACAAGATAAACAATCGATACCTTCAAGACGGACACGACCTAACTGACCACTAAAAACTAAAGTTTTCAAACGACTAAAAGAGACATGTTCTAAGCTACAATGCCAAAGCTGTAAAGAAGACAAGGCAGAAGTAGATGCAGCAGATGAAGCACTGGGAGCAGCAATAGATGATGTGTAGAGAGCAGCAGTAGATGATTTGTGAGGAATGCGAAGATGGGTAAGCTCGAACAGACGTCCATGCTTACGGCCTATCCCAAGGATCTGTCTCGTCTAAGGGTTCTACACCAAACAACCATTAGCAGAAAAGGTAACGGTTAGACCAAGTTCACATAATTGACCAACAGAGATAAGGTTCATGTAATACCCATGTTCCGTATTATGTCAATTGGTCCTTATTTTGAATATGAGTATGTGTTTGATATGATTTTGTGTGCCATTATGTGGTTTTGAATGTCTATCTGTTCACCGTAGGAATATCTGTTTGATTTTTTCGCTTCAAAAATTAAATTGAAGGCCTTATCGGCCACAGAACTCGAAATTGATTACGCCATTGTGATTGGCATAATTTTTAGAGCCTACGGTGAAATTTAATTAAAAATTGATTTGGATCAAATTAAGTTGATTAAATTGATGAATTAGTGCCCAACTATTTAATATTATTAAATAAGCATTAGTGGGACTTTTTATATGGCCATATACACTCTCTTTGCTCCTTTTTGAACTCAAAAATCTGAGATAGGCATGGAGAGGGTGTGAAGGCCGGCTATAGAGAGAGAGAGAGAGAGAAGAATTGTGCAAGTTTTGCTCTTGAACTTTGAAAGTCTTGAAGATAACTCAAGGATTTGCCATAGATTGTGAAGATTAAAGCTCCTTGGTGAGTAATTCATGTGTTTTTAGTTATCATCTTGTGAATTCAAGTTTGAATGAGGGTCAAGAACATGAATTAGTTTGATTTTGTTGTATTAAAAACCCATGTGTGCATGCATGTATGTAATTGCTTGAATTTGCATGTTTGAGTTTAAAATACATGATCCATGTAGGATTTTGGTTAAAGCTCATGTATAATCACCATTTGTGTCGTCTAAGTTGAAAATGGGAGCAATACATCATATGCATGTACAATTTATGAAGATAAGAGCTTTGCATGCATGAATGTGTATATTGGAATTGAGTTTGGTGTCAATTTGGGGCATGCATGTGTTTGATTCATGAAATTGAGCTCCATGATGATGTGTTTTAGTGTTTATACCATGTTAGTACAAGAATATGTGAGGTTGGAGCCATAAAATGCGAGAAATGTTGGTTTGAATGTTG